TCCCCACTGGAAATTATGCCTATAGAAACTTAGTTTAAAATATTTAAAGTTTAAAAGAAATTATTAATACATCCAGTAAATAATTCATTCAAATAATGAATATAGGACCTATCAGCATTATGCAATGTTCGGTTAAGAATAAAAACATTTCATTTAGCCTTCCATGTTTTATTCAGCAATTTTGATCATTTTTATGAAACTTAGAATGGAAAGGAAAGAAGCCATGCATTGTAGAAATTAAAGAATGCGATCAGAAACAGCAGAAGAGAAGCTATGTTAGCGCAGACAAATGTGCAAAGAAATGGATCATGAACACGAGACGTGGCTGATGCCTTGTCAGGTTTCCTGCAATAAACGATTTGTGGAAACATGCGCTAAGAACATGGATACAAATGGGGTGCAATGAGGGTTTCTTGGGAAAAGCATGAGCTTGAGTCACGTGACCTGGGTTCTAGCCTTCGTTGCTTACCAGCTCTGTGACCTTGGACAAGTCATCCCCATGCCCTTTTTTCCTCCTCTATCTCCCCATCTTACAGTGACCTTGGAAATGCTAAGTAAGATACTGAATAGGTCAGTAACCAGGGAGAGCACAATGACCAGTGACCCTTTCGGGCCAAGAGCAGGCCAGCGGGGGCCAGGGGAGGGAGTGTGGCTGCCGCAGAGAGGCAGTGACCAGCAAGGAGGGAGCAGGCAGACCTCCTCCTCGTCCTGCCCTCTGCTTCCTTGATGGCGTCTTCCAGAAGGCAAAGTGACTGGAGGCAGGAGGACAAGGAGCCTGTTGCTGCAGCCCATGGATGTTCGTCTTCCCAGAGAAGCCCCTCTAATGACCCCAGGATCAAAGTGCAGGCATGAGCAATAGGATCTGCCTGTAACACAAAACTGCACAGAGGCAGCATGGAAGCTGCTGGAGCTGTGGTGCCTCCTTGTATAGGGAGCTTTAGTCTTCCCCCATGACCCAGAAACCCACTCCTGGATGCTTACCCTAGAGCAGTGGAGACGCTCTGTGTGAGTCTTCATAGCAGTGCTGTTCAGGATCTGCCAGCCTGGACAGGTGGCCCCACGGGTGAGTGGATAAACAGAACGGGGCATCCATAGGACGGGGTACCGGCCAGTGGGTGAGGAGTGACCCTTGCTGCTCTGACAAACAGGCTGTCTTAAAAACATGCTGAGGGAAAGACGCCGTTCTCTGAAGGCTACAGGGATTGATTCCACTCTCACGACCTTCTCAACACACAACCGTAGTGAGGAGGACCTGGTGGAAGATGGTTGCTGTTGGGGTGGGGGAGAGGGTGTGACTCTGAATGGGTGCCTGGAGCGGGCACCGGGGAGGTCAGTCTGTTGATTGTGGTAACAATTGACACAAATCTCTGTGGTAAAGTCCAGAGAACCATACATCAAAAAAGGCCCATTTCATTATATGTTCTTTTTTTTCAAAGTTGAAAACAATTTAATATATTGTATTGTTTCCTAAAAGTCCCTACATACCTCTATTATTTGTCACATATGCCAACTGAACACTTGCTCAAGATGCTTCCTTTTATTCTTTTTTCAATTTATTTGATTATTATTCTCTTTTAAATTTTTTTTATATATTATTTTTACATCATTTTTCATTTTTGCTCAATGTATGTATTTTCATCTCGGTTATATTCCCCATACAATTCCCCCCCCCCCTTATTTTGACCCTAATCCCTCCTCCCCTCCCTATGTTCTTTTTAAAGTAAAAAAAAAAGTCAAGGGCCTCCCCAGTGGCGCAGCGGTTGAGCATTGGGTTGCGAAGCTGCCCGCAGCCTCTGCAGCACCTGTTCGATCCCCGGCTGCTCCCCGGCCACCGGAGGAGGGTCCCACGTGGCGCGCAGACCTCTCCTGCCGCCCGCTGCTCCCCTCAGCAGTGTCCTTCGGTCCTTCTGCCTGCTCTGCTCCCCGCTCTGGCTCTGGTGAATTCTCTCACCCTCCCGCGCTTCTGACTGTACCCAGTGCTTGTATAAATAAATAAATGTAAAAAAATACCGTATTAAAAAAAAAGTCAAGCTAGTTATCTGGGACATACATGTGAACAAATGATGGATTTGTTCTTAGGACAATAATGATGAGCTATTTGTCCAAAGTTGAAGAAGCTTCCATCCAAGCTGAAGTAAGAGAAGTAACTGCAGAATGGCCTGACAACATGAACCTTGTGTACATGTAGATTTTGCACATGTGAGATGCGCAGATCTGCCTGTCATCGTAACGTGGCAGCCTGGACGGGGGCAGCAGATATGAGGGGAAGCTCTGTGTGAGGGGGATGAAAGGTAACGGACATCGGGGCTGAGTCTGAGTGTCAGAAAGTGGACCCCCTGGGCAGATGGAGTTCAGGGGTCCGGAGCAGAGTTCAGACATGAGCCCAGGACAGAGATGGAGATGAGCTGGCGGTGGTTTGGCTGCATCACAAGTGTTCAAGGCAAGAGGCCATCCAGCTCTCGGCAGCTGGTTCCCAAGCAGTGGGGAGAAAATAGAAGAAAAAAGGGGAATGTTGGGGTTTGGGGGCTCAGGGGTAGGCACTGGAGTAAGGCACAGCTGGGCTGGCTGCTGGCCCTGCTACCTCCTAGTGTATGACCTGGGACAGTTTTGACTTCTTGAGTACAAGAAGAGACCTTTCCCCACTGCCTTGCTGTGAACATTAAATGAAGCCCCTCAGCTGTCCAGGCAAGGAACTAGAGTCCACGCCCAGTTACAGTTCAAGTCTAGTCCGCAGAGGCTGGTCACAGCAGGACCCTGCGCCCTTGAGCTGTGCTTCTGGGGAGCTGCTCACTCTCCTAAGCTGCAACGCCTGCAAAATGACAACGATCATGCCCCCCACCCCACCCATGGGCTTTGGGGGTAAGGCTTCCGCTGAGATAATAACCATGATGATGCTCTGTGAGCTGGAAATTGCTATTCAAATGGACTTTGAAGGCCAGAACCTTCAGGGAGAAATGTTTTCTTCTTGCTTCTGGGTGTCCTGGAGACACAAAACAAGCCTCCAGGTCAGGGCTGGACTCAGAGTAGAAGAGGGTTAGGAGGCCAGGAGGTTTGGCCAGAGGCACCAACCAAGCAGTCAGTGGGGAGGCCCCAGAGGGTTTCACCTTTGACCCTGGGGATTAGTTCCAGGGACCACCAGATGGGTGGTTACAGCAGTGGCTCCCGAGGCAGAACTTGCTGTAGGAACTTGGGCCAGTGGTACAAACAGGCTGTCAGGGTTCCTGGTTGATGGGATAAGCCTCTGTCTGCTTGACTCAGGAGTGGCCAGGCCTCCCAGCAGAGGCGCAGGCCCTGCCTCTTATCCCTCTCACTCTGTTTATCCAGTGGCTCTTTCTTTTTTTTAAGATTTATTTTTTTATTTACTTATGCATACAAAAGCTTGGATGGAAGCCAGAGGTGGGGTGGTGAGAGGATTCACCAGACACAGAGTGGGGAGCTGAACAGGTGGATCTACTGAAATACACTGGGGAGGGGAGCAGCGGGGAGACAGGAGAGGTCTGCTGTGCCATGTGGGTAGCTCCCTGGCTGGGGATGGGACTGGTGCTGCAGAGGCTGCGGATAGCTTCACAGTGCTGAGACTTAACCCCTTATACCACCAGGAGGCCCTATCCAGTGGCTCATTTTGAACAGTGCAAACTCAGGCCTACTGCTTTCCTCCAGGTGGCCACTGCACCTTCAGCTCTGGCCACAGATCAGTGATACCTGACACCCCCGAACCAGAATTCACCCTGCTGTCCCACTGATCCTTTGAGTGACAAATGAATAGTGGTTGTTGGGAGCCATCACGGCTAGGGGGTGATGCGAATGCAGCGTTATTGTTGAAATGTCTGACTTAGCACAGTAAGTTCCTTAAGTGTTCTCAGTTTTGTCTTTGGTGGGTTGAAATGTATGATGCCTGATTGTCATCACCCCCTAGGACATTTATCAGGAGTAAGCAGAGAGACATATGTGAAGGACTTAGCACAGTACTCAATGCTAAGCAAGGGAATGATCAATGAGTCAGCACCCCGAGGACAGTGAGTTGGGAAGAAACTCTAAAACAAGGTCTTCCTGGCTGAGTCTGTTTCCTTACCTCCTAAATGCTTAGAAAAAATGCTTGTCTCACTTAGAAAAATGCTTGTCCTGCTCCTCAAAGGGAAGCTGGGTGGGGATGGAGGTGAGCCGCTTGCCATCTGAATTGCTACCCAGGAGTTAGGGTTATCCTTCTTATGGGAGTGGAGCCTCTCGTGCCAGAGTTTCTATCATCAGCATCCCAAGGTCATGGCTTATGTAAGCGTGAGGATGAGCAGCTCTTGGGTTTCAGCCGGCGCTCATGAGTTGTCTGCTCATCAGAATTAAAACCTTCCTCGACACGTACCATCCCGCTCGCAGTAGCGCATCCGTCCCTCGGCTGGCCCTCTCGCCAATCTGACAGCACAGCACAAGCAAATTGCACTTTGATTGCAAAAGGAAACTGCAAACTTTGAAAAAGATGCAGGGTTTTGTAAAGATGAAAGGGATGATGGAGAATTTCTCTAATCTCATGCAAAATAATTGACAAATGAGGATCTGACAGGGTTGGACCAGTTAATAATTGAAAAAGAGAAAAATCGACAAGGAGGCTGGCATGCCAGGCTTCACAAGAGAATAATTCGATGATTTGAATATCAGAGGGTGCGGGAAGCCTTTGGAAAAGTTGATGAAACCTCAGCATTTTTGGCAAAAATTATCCTCTTCATGGCCGTTCTTGGAGCCGTGTCATGTCACGCTATTATGTAATTTCCTCGGAAAAGGATCGCTTGTTAATTTTAATGGTCATCAAATGACTGCAGGATAGCCATGCTTTTATTAAATATAAACTTATTTTTAATGGATTTTAGTTTCATTTGTTTTCACCATAACATTCAAATTTTCTCCACCCTCCATTTTCCAGGAAATTTTGGTTCCCACTTTTCATGGTCTTCTGTCGTCAGTGTCCCACGCGCAGTTAAGAGTTGTGCTCCTTTGTTTCTCCCCGTTAGGTCCAGAGAGTTCCTAGAACAACCACTTACCTGGAGATTTCAGACACGGAAGCTCCAGCAGGTGGTGAAGGTGGGAAAGCATCGGTCCCGGCCCCCGAAGTCTGCCGCTTGGGTGAGTTCTATTTTGCAACCCACCTCATGAGCTGGTAGCAGCCGGCGAGTGTGACCGTAGTGACCTGACAGAAGGCAACAGCTGTCACGTGCTTTCTCTCTTCTTGGTGCCTTTGGGTGTGGCCGAAGCTGGGGCCACAACGAAACTCTTCTTCTGTGGAAGTGAAGGAGCTTTGTGAGGACTGGGTGAGACCCTGGGCGTTGAAGTCTACTGAGCCATGTTGCACAATAGATGCTAAAGTAGCGCAGTCCTGGGTATTCCAGGAGACAGTGGCCCTTGCTTCCTGTGCTCTGACTTCTTTCACTTGAGTGTATTTGTGGATTCCCTAGATTGCTCTGCTCTCCGCCCACCCCAGCATGCACACTCTGGAAGACCGAGTCTCATATTGTATTGAAGTTATGTCTTATGTCTTCTGTTGGAGAGCGGGGGTGGGGGAAGACCCACTTCTGCTTTGTAATCATCCCAACCTTTGAGGTCCCGAGGGGGAGGTGGGGAGCAAGATGGTCTAGAAGAGGGCCTGGCAGTTTCTGGCCCAGGGCCATAGGAAGGACCACTGCCTCCTCTACTATTGTCCTTTGACCATTCCTTGATTTCACCCTTAAGACAAATATGGTACCCCATTGCACCAGAATTTCTAGAACTCACTGTGTCCAGAGCTAGAATCAGCCCAACAGTGTTCATTATGTCATCCATGCAACTCACCGGACAGTAACGCTGTGAGCTGATTACTTTATAGACAAGGAAAGGTGTTTTGTAGCTAAGTTGGAATGACTTGCTGGAGCTCCTGCCTACATCTAGAACTGGAGGCGGCACTGGACCCCTACAGGTCATCAAGCCCCTTCCTCAGGTGTGGCCACAAAACTCTACTGCTCTGGCCAAATGGGGGCACCATGGAAGCACCTTGAATTTTTATCCTTGCTGGACTGTATATGATATTTCTCCAAAAAGTTGCATTCCTAAAATCATTTTTCACCTCCGCACTGTTCCCTGAGATACGTCAGGCAGGAGGAATCCCATTTTACCTATAAGTATTTATGGTTTAACCAAGGTCATGTATTTAGTCAGTGGCAGAGCTGGACGACCACACCACGGGGCACCTGGCCCCGTCCTTGTACCTGACATTCCCAGGTCCCCTTTTCAGCGCACATTGTGGGATGTCAGTCCTCGCTGGGTGTCTGGCGGCCAGCTGTGCGGGGGTGTGCTGCAGAACAGAGATGGGGAGAAGCTGGTCCTGTGGGGATGCCTCTCCTCTCTACTCCAGAGAGTGCCATCCATCACCTTGTCACCACGGAGCCCCGGCGGATGCCTGCCCAGCGAGGCTGCGGGTACGTAAATGTAATGGAAATCAGTCAGGGGCCAATTTTCCCTATAGAAAAGGGAATTGCATTTCTCAGGCATGTGGGCAAAGAGAGGTTGATTAAACATAAAACATTTCCACAGAGGGGGCAGCGTAAAGGAAGACTCCAGCTCTGCCTGTTCGGGGAGGGAATTTTCCTGCAGAAAACTCAACGCAGGGCCTTCGGTGCCGATAATTCCATCTGACGGGCGCTCTTGTCTTGGGATTGCTGATTCCAGCAACTTGGAGGCACTCGCGCTGACCTATGTTCTGTCATCTAATTTGTCGCAAGATTTTGAAGTTTCCAGAAAAGGATGTGAAATGTGAAATCATGCAGGAGGTAATGGGGTGGTTCGCCCTACATTTGGTCATGTCACCGGCTGTTGACAGAGATCAATAGTTCCTTTTAGAGTTGGCACCCTTGGGTATCGGCTGTGCTGCCACGTCTGGGAACTGACTAGCTCTCTTGTCGGGGACAGCGGGTAGGAGGAAAAGCAGTAAATTAGTGCTTGGAGTTAGGACAAGTCGCCAGTCAACATGTGCACCTCCTAGCAGGAAAACACGATGAATGTGGACTCGAAATCATCGTAGAGATGAGGCAGCCCAGGGCCGAGAGTTCATTTTCTGGCCTAGGGTTCTATGGGGCCAGTGCACACGGATTTGAATGTGGACCTTCAGTTCTGAAATCCACACCCATCATTCTGTTTAGTCTGCCTTGCTACCTCTTGTTCTCCTCATTTGTCTATCATTATTACTTCCTTCTGTCTATATTTGCTGTCATCATTTGATCCATTTACTGTGGCATTTTTGGGATGGCTTTTGTTTTTTTTGACCTTGTTTGCCACTGTGGCAATTATTTTTCCATGTCTCTGTGAACCACTATTACCCATCAGCTCTCAGCATGATGCCAAACTTGAGAGCCTGCCCCCAAGACATATTTTTATTCATAGATTTATTGGTTCACTGATTCTCCTGTTACTATCATCCCTGTGTTTGGTTCTCTGAAATTACCACCCATTTCTCTGCCTAATAATTCAATCAACATTACTGAGGGCCGTGTGGGGGTACAGTGTTTCATCTCATGCCCTCTGATCACGCCCGTAGGTAAAGATGAGAATCGGCTCAGGATGGAAAGTACATGCTTCGGTGCATTAGAAGAGAATGTTGCCGTTGTTTTTGCTCCATGCCTATTTGAAACTCTTGCATATTTCCTTCAGCGTCTTTATTCCCAAGACCAAAGGGTCACAAATGAAAACCGGTGTAAGTTGTATTTTGACATTGTGTTTAGCAGGGTTTTCTGGAGAGCCAGAAGGACGAGGGCGTGTGTGTGTGTGTGTGAGAGGCTGTATGCATGTGAGTGTGTGTGTGAGTGAGTGTGAGTGTGTGTGTGTGCATTCTGCAGGAAGAGACATAGAGTATGAGCACATTTCCACAAAGTTTTAAAACACACCCAAAAAGCAAAGTTTACAAGCTGCCTGGAGGGACATGTCTGCAGTAGTGTCAGCCCCACACCCCCCGGGGAGCAGCACATCCTCTAGGAAGGAAGGTGGGTGAATGCACGGTGTGGGGGTCTTCAGAGGACTTGAGCCACATTGCCAATGTTTTCCTTCTGAGGGGAAGTGTTCAGGTTTGCCAGGTGTGGCAGTGGGTGAAATGGTGTGTGTTTTACTATTTTGTGCACATTTTTATAGGCTTGAAATATTTGCTACTCAAATGGTCGAAGTGCTTCCTTTCCCTCTCGAGAGTGCCTGGCCGTGGCGGGCTGTGTCGTGCCTGGGCCGTATCTCAGCTCCTCCACCAGCGCCTCAGGCACGCGGGAGTGACAGGGGCTGCTCAGGGTGGGTGGGAAGGAGGGGAGGGGCCCCTCGTCGGAGGACAATCCCCCCCAGCCTGTGTGTGTGCTAATCTGTTTCCGTGGCCGGACTGAGTCTATTCAGCGCGCAGCGGTGGATCCTGAGCATCCCCACAGGAGCACACGCTGTCAGGGTTCCGAGGAGGAAGCGAGGAATACACAAGCAGGCGACCCACGCCTCCTCCACCACCCCGGGGTCCAGACACATGGCTGCTGAGTCTCAGGGCGGAGGCCGTGCTTCACCTCAGCGAGCAGAGCACCCTTCATTCCTTCCGTGTGGAAGTCCTGCTGGTCACCCTCGTCCTGCTGGTCACCCGCCTGCCATGTGGAAGGGCGGTTTGGCCACACACCTAGGGAGGGTCAGAACTGCACCGTGGTCTTCGTGGTGGGCAGTTCTGTTCCCCCTGCTGAGGATGCCGAGTCGTGGCTGGATCTCTCCTGAACTAGATTTGGGGAGAAAGTGCTCTAAATTGGAGAGACTAAAAATGGATTTTTTTTGTTTTGGTGCAAAATCTGCAACTTTCAATTTGCCAGTTACGTGAACACAAATGTTTACACGCCTGTAAGATGGAAACGGAGGGGCTGCTTCTGGGAAAACAAGTAGCTCTGCCGGCGAGGCCCAGTGCAGGGGAGCTCTGCACCCCAGGCCCTCAGGGTGGCCGGCGCAGACGTATCACCGAGTAGCTGCCATCCGCAGGGACTCCGAGGCATCGGTGATAAGGGAGCTGGTAAAAGTAGTGCTTTCCCAGCCTGAGTGGAGGTTGGAGCAAATACAAAATTGCATCTTAAAAGTTGGCTGAAGGAGAGGGGCCGGGTCTCTGAGTGGGGTTGCTGAAGGGAGCCCTGAGGGAGTGATGTGTGAGCTCCACCCTCACACTGGACAGGAGGGAGGGGGCCGCAGGGACACCCCTGGGTCACAACGGGTTCCTCCGTATCTGTTGGCTGCCAGACATCTTTCTGGGTGATTAGGATAAAGAGGCCACTCCTTGCAAAGCTTTTGCATTCGAGAAAGGACATTTCAAAGCAGAAGAGACAATAACTACGTGATAAAGTGTGTCGGGAGGGAGCGAGCGAGGCGGATGAGGGTGAGGAGGGGCAAAGAGAACCACGAAGGTCTCCAGGTTGAGGCCGCTCACCCCTTTGAACAGAATGACCACCATGGCCTCTTACAGTGGTGGCCTCCGGGGTGGCTGGCTGCAGGGGAGTGACTGGCTTTACAGACGCTGACTCAGGCAGCAGGCCCAGCCGGCTCCAAGGCGTGAGTGTGCCAGGCATATCCAGAACCCAGAGGAGGATGCAGGCTGAGCAGTGTGGACAAGGGCAGGGGAGCGGGCCTCCCGTCCAGTCCGGAAGGGACTGGTGGGCTCAGGTCTGGCTGGAGCTGGTGCCGCCATCAGCTGTGGCTTCTGCTCCGCGGGGAGCAGCTGCTAGGGGTTTGGGGAAGAGTCCAGGCAGGAACTGACTTCTCTTTTAAAAGGCCTTCTCACTGCCACGGGGGACATAGGGGCAGGGGCGAGGCCGAAGCCCAGGCCACGAGGAAGGTGGAGGTGACTGCTGAGAGGTGCTCGTGGCCTGGCTGGGCAGAAGCAGAGCAGGTGATGAGGGGGTCCCCCCTGGCTGCACCCTGAAGTCAAGGTCATGGAGTGGGGTTATGGTGGGGACAGTCAGACGCTTCTGCAGAGTGTCCAGCCTGAGTGACCCGCAGGCTCGACTTGCCCTCAGCTGATGTCCCTGCTGGGCGAGCTGGGGGAGGCGGCTGGAAGTGTGTTTCTGGACATGCCGAGGGGAGATTCTTGTTTCCTGTCCGGTGGAGACACCGAGGAGGTGCTGGGGGAGGACCTGAGGGCCACCAACACGGGCCCGAGACCGGCAGGGCCAGCGAGAGCAGCACCACACTTTTGTTTTTGTAACTTTGGGGGAAATGTGCAGGGTATGTCCAGATGGGAGTGACCTGGTGAGTGATGACCCTGGGGGCCGGGGAGGCTGGCGGCTGGCCAAGGAGGAGGTTCTAAGGAAATGGGTTTAATCATGTGTTGGGAAAGCTTAGAGATTTTAAGCAGAAATGCTTGATGGGATGGGATTTGCCTTCTGAGGGTTCCCTCTAGATACGGCAAACTGAGGGTTGGGCGCCTGGTCGCCAGCGCACTGAAGCTCAGACTCTGTGGCTTGGCCAAGTTGTGGCCAGGGCTGGTGGTGCTGTTTGGCCCCCAAGTCCTGGCCATTGACTCATGCACTTTTTAATTCAGGAGGTCTCTCAGAACTTCTAGCCCAGTCCCTCGGGTGAGTGCATCCAAGGTTTCCAGAAGCAGCAATTTGCAAATGGAATCATCATTTCAGTGCACCAGGGGGAGGTTGCTATTTAAAGTGTGATTCTGGGAAATCCTTTGTCAAGCCATGGATCCTTTTGTAAAGCAAATAATCCACTTTCCAGTTTACCTGTGGAGCAGATATTATTCCTCAAACTTCAGGTAAATCTATAAAACTAAAGAGCGCTCAGAATGTTCTTTCTCAGGGACAGGAGCTGTGGCCCTGAGGCCTGGATTGGGGTGGGGAGAAGCCGGGGAGAACCCCTGAGCAGCAGGGGCTGGCTTGGTGTGCTGGCAGGCCCTCTACCTTTAGCTGAACTCTTGGTCCCAGATCAAGGGGGCCCAGTTTCTCTCTCTCCCATGCTTCCTTCCCTGGCAGTGCTGCCCCCTAATCCCCTGGCAGATGTGCTGGATGACACCACAAGGCTCACCTGCTCCCTGATTATCTCCAGCCAATCAGAGCCTCCCGAGACTTCCACCTGTGCTTCTGTTCTCCCTGGATCATGAGTAGTAAGTTTGAAGCACATTCAGATGAGCAGATGGTCAGCACGTGTGTACACGGAGAGAGAACGCATGGGAATAAATGCACACAGGGGTAGGTGGAGCCAAAAAGTGGAGAATAGCCAAAAAGTGGAGCTAAAAAGTGTAGAACCCAGTGATGTTGCCT